TTACGTGATACATGATATATAGCGCTGTTGCCCTCTAGCGTTGAAGATACAACAGAACTAGGCTAGGTTTTCCTCATTTCCATCTAATTGGAACAATTTAATTTGGGTATAAAAGTAAAAATATGAGGAGCCCTCCACACGTTTGTGGGCAAGCCGCACGTACTTGTAGGTACAACATTTCGAAAGATGTTGCTTAAACCTCTATAGGCTTTAATTTAAAAGGAGTGGGACAAAGAAAAAGCCTATACCCGAGATCTACAGTATCATTTAATTACTTTAAAGGTAGGTGATGGCTGATTTTAAGCTTAATTTCTTTAGTGTAAGCAGGCTTGTTAACCGATCTTTTTAAAACGATCGAATCCCGATCACGATCTTATCAAAAAAAGAGGATCGAAATCCAGGATCGATCTTTTTTTCTATTTAAATTTCTGAAGGAAATTTCTGACCGATGCAAAATTAACTAATATATGTTATAAATTTATTGTAATTGAATAATAATATAACAGATGCAAAATTAACTAATATAAAAATAAATTAAATATGGTAGAAATTTATTGTAATTGAATAATTAATATAACAATTATAATATATTTATTTATAATTAAAATTAGCTTTTAATAATAAAAATTTTTCTAAATTATCATCATTTAAACATCCGCGTCTTTCATTTAGAACATGTTTAGCTTTACTAAACAAGCGCTCCAAGGTGTATTATATTCAATAAATATTTTTTTAAAATTAATATAAGTATTAAAAATATTCATGGAATCATCATATGAATAAAAAATATTTTTAACGGAACAAGCATTTTGTACAGTATTTTCCCCCCAAAAAGCATCAATATCATCCATACATTCATTTGAAGTATCCGCATATGGTTGTTCCTGCATATTTTCCAAATGGGCAACTAATCTTTCTTTTACCATCATATTTTGTGGCAGATTAATATAAGGCCAATTAAGTTTAAATTTAGGGTGAATCATGGCTGCCAAAATGTTACTGTCTTCATACAGTGAAGGAAATTTATATTATGAAATGATAATTAATTTATTATTAAATAAGAGTTCATTTGATTCATATAAATCAAATCAAGTATCTGCAAAACCTAACCCTTTTAAATTTTACAGTCAAGTCTGGCACATCATCTGTATGGTATTTATTTATATTTGGGTCATATCATAAATATTGATTAAATGTAAACTTAATACTTAATATACAAAGAAATTAACATTGTAATATATTTACAAAGAATATTAATCAAAATATTAGCTTAAAATTCAAATAATCTTATAAATTTTTAATGTCTTCAAAGGCCCATTAATATTTTACTAGATATCAGAGGTTTAGTAGAACTGGCCTGTTAAAATTTTTTACTAAATTTGCCAGATCATTGCAATTTTTTAATATATTTTGCAGATATCTGATAATATAAAATAATTGCATAAAAAAATATTACCTTTTATCAATACCTCTAAGAACACTATCTACAAGGGGCTGACAATACCGCAGGCAGCTAAATTTCGTTAAGTTATCTATCAATATCGATAGAACGGGAGATAGATATTCCTGCTCCATATTATCCTCCCATTCCAAGATTTTTAACGAGATCGCCAAATGTTCCATAACCTATAAAATTTGAATTTATTTAGAGAATATCATTGTATTACTGTTGCATACTCTTTAACAAAAAAACATTCCTCTTGCCTAAACATTGCAAATCCAATTTGATCACATACTTGTTCTACTTCTGAAAACTTTTCAGAAAGCATCTTATCTATTAATTTCATGGATTGGTAATAAGAATTCCATCTTGTCTTGTTGGGAGCTATTAAATATCTTCCCAATTTCTCCAATAAAATATCCGCCATTTTTGACGACATATTTTGTTTATTAACTAAAGCAAAACATTTTGCAAAAGTGGATCTAAATATTCGTTTATAATTGAGATCACTATCTGCCTTCTCCGCATCTGTTGTTGCAATAAGGTTAAGATTATGGCAACAACAACGTTGATGTTTTGGTAGGCTGATAGTAGGAATAATTGGGTCATCAACGGATAATATGTCATCCAAATTTATCAATTCAATATCCTCACTACTATCTTCTTCATTTTCTCCAAAAACTCTAGAAAAAATAAATTTATTTAAATATTTTTTTCTAAATATAAATAAATGCCTTGACAAAGTTGGTTCCATTGTCAGTCACCATCTTCATCACCTTATTATGAATTTTATAGAACTTGTGGATACCCATGATTTCATTGGCCAAAACACCATACGTTTGCCTCCCAATTATCCTTCTCAGTGCCAAAGCGGTTGACCTTCTCTTGAGGGTTAACGGATCCAGCCAATGTGCAGTAAGTCCAATAAAAGCCCTAATAAAATAAACATTATAAAATTCATATAAATATAATATACCTTCGATGAAACTATTCCAACAATCAGCAGTGGTGCATACATAAGAAACTAGAAGGAACTAGATATCATGTGCCAGTGTTTGGCGACAAATAATTTTTGTAAAAAGTTTTAATCATTTTTTCAAATGAAGGATCATCAACCAGAGACAGTGGTTGGAAGGTGTCAATAATAAAATCTATGATAACCTTTTCTGCTGTTTTTTTGCGATACAGCTGGAATGTTTAGATTGTTAAAATTTAATTTAGATTGTCTGGATTTGCAACCAGAACCACTTTGGTTTTGCAGTGATATATTTTTTTGTGTAGAGAATTCGTTGAGGTGTTTGATAATCTCATTTTTAAATTCACTGTGCTTTTTTTTTATAAAAGATGAAAATAACTTCTCCTGAATCAAATTTCATTTTTAAAATTTTATATGGGAATTTAAAGTTAAAAAAAACAATGTACAGGCTGAATGTAAAACCTATATAAACAAAAAAATTATAAAGGGTTCAACAAATTTTGTTAAACATATTAAAGTATGTTATTAGTGGTTAAAAGGGGGTAGGTTATCTCAAAAATTTAAGTTTACAATATTGTCTATCATTATTAAAAGTTGCCCATGATGATATGGGCCAAAGATTTTGATAAAGTATTTTCCTATTATGAATATAATGAGGCTTTTTGGCATTTAAGAACTTGGATTGAGTCAAATGATACAAAAAATACTTTCAATTCAAAATATATTATTAAAAAAAACCCTAAAAATGTTGTCAAGAGGATTATATAATCAAGCTCAAACTGAAAATATAATTATAAAAGATTAGATTTAACATATTATAATTATAAAAGATTAGATTTAACATATTATAATAAAGAAATAATAGAATATAAATTTATTTTTCTTTTGGTGAAACATTGCTAAGTTCAATACAAATAACATTGAATTGGATGTTTTAATTATAATAAAGAAAGTCAAAATACATTATAAAGACTTAATTATTAGTTATTACACTTCATTTATTATAAATACTCTTCTTTATAAAATTAAACTAATATAATAGTACTATTAAAAATAAATGCCTAATTATTATATATAAATAACAAAACCAAGATTAACTCTTCGTCTAATATTTTATTAATTATACTGTATCTAATAATACATTTTTTTTATAAAGAATCTGTATCTAGATTCTATTTCAGTAGGACCTGCTCAACTCTGGAATGTAATAAATTAAATTTAAACATGTTGACATTAAGATTATCAAATAAAAAAAATTTAAAAGAATTACTTGTAAATGTCTCTATAAGTTCGAGGAGGATATTTTGGAAGATGATATTATCTTCTTACAGAGACGGCATTTGGTGCTGATCATATTATAAGAGTTGCTTTCATCCATTTCACATAAAGTAAAATACTTACGTAATTTCAAAAATGGTAAAAGATTCTCATTCTCACTTATATCTGCTGTTACATCAATAGTAGAAGCAATAGAATCTTCTAAATCTATAATGGACATTTACATTCACCTATTAAAATAAATATTAATATATTATTATAAATTTATATTAAATAACTCGTAAGAGCTCTAAATCTCGTAAAATTTAGGAAATGAATAAATATATCTATAAAATAAATGGTGGAATGGAAGTTGATTAAATATGAAGATAGATATTTTTTTAAAAAATAATATTTTAATATTTTCAAAATTTTTATTTTATTTATTGCTTTTTAAGTAAAAAATTAATTTTTAAAAAGATCGGGATCGAATTTTAAACAAAATGATCTCGATCTCTATCCTCAATTTAAGTCAGAATCATAAATCTCGTAAAATTGACAAATTTGCGATCGAATCCAGGATCGTCGATCTTTTGATTCGATCTTTTAACAACTCTGAGTGTAAGTTATAATTACTATCAATATTGAGATATAATGTACATAGAATCTGTAAATATATTTTATTTGTAAAGGAGGGTGTGGAATGAAAGGTGCGTAGGTTATATTTAATTATTAGCCTAAAATGATATTAATTTGATTAGGTAAATTTTTAAAAGTGGGAGGGGGATAGGTGACTTTCACTGACACCGATTTAAAAATATTCCAAAATGGGTTAATTTGATTAGGTAAATTTTTAAAGGAGGAGTGGGAGGGGGATAGGTGACTTTCACTGACACCGATTAAAAAATATTCCAAAATGGGTTAATTTAATGGGCAAAAATATATGGAAATAAAGGACCCTATGAAATTATTCTCACACCTCCTCCATGAAAATCTAAGAAAAATATGTTTATATTAAATTGGTAGATCCATCTATTTCTAAAATTATTATGACAAGATTAATCTATGTCAACCTTTTAGTTATTTTAGGGCTGCGAAGCAGTCGAAGTAATATCTTTTTATTAACAAATAAGAGTCGATTCTTATGCTTTCTTTATCTATAAAAAGACATTAATATTTATATTATATGATTCTTTTTATTAAATCTATTTATTTGTAATTTATCTTTAATGACATAATTAATCAATGTTTAAAAGTATGTGTCACATCAGCTGTCAAATACTCTTTTAAATGTGGTTTCTCTCTATATTCGAAATTTGGAATTCATTTTTTTTTGAAATATATGAAAATGCATTGGAGGAAATTTTATAAATAAAAATATGAATTTAGACCCTTTATCTTTTGCTCTTGCAGAAATCGATTATGCTCTAAAAACCTTATCTAAAAGCTCTTATAAGGCAAATGCTGCTGAAATTAGTCAAGTAAAATTATATACTTTTAATAAATATATTATTATAATTAGTTGGTGGGTAACTTTGGCTTTGAAGGGGAAAGACATCTGATCAAATCTATATATTCTGAAATAGATTTTAGTGATTACAGAACAATAAATAAAGAATATCCACAGGTTGTAAAGATTTGGTAGTTTATTAATACCTTCTTTTTAATTTATAGATTCAATACTTAAAGCAAGAATATAATAATATTATTAATAAATCAAATTTCATATCCTTGATTTGCAATGCAATCGAAAACATTGTAAAAATTCAAAAGGTTTATTAATATTTTAAATTATATAATTATTGTAAAATATTCACATATAGCATTTAAAAGTTCCACAAATCTTAAGCCAGCTCAGTAAGTTGTCAAAATTGAGTAGAGTAGAAGAGATAGCCTATGCAATATGCTTAATACATTCATCAAACAACGAAATTAAAGACTATGCAAAATTATTTATCAAGCAAAAACTGCCAGAATTTTTAAAAGCTTATCTTGATGGAAGTTAGTTTTTATTTTATATCCATAATATTTTTCAAGTAAAAACTTCCTATTTATAAAAACATTATCACTTATACATAAGTTTAAACTATATTACCAATTTATTATTTTCATTAAAAAAATTTCTCAAGTCTAAGATTGCAACCAAATTACAGTAATTGATTAGCTAGGTTTTTCTAGAATCTTTATCCAATTCAGCCTTTTAGTTTTAATATAAGCCAATGTTTCTTTTAAAAAATATATACTTTTAAATATCATTTGATTTCCATGTAAACATTGCTAAGTTCTTGAAATCGATATTATAGATATATTTATACATACATGTTATGTTTAATATTTCTTTGTAATGTTTCTATATCATGAATTGAATGATATGCATTGGAAAATATTTAATTTAGAACAGAATTTTAATTCAATAATATTACATTTTTTTTGGTCAGGTGGGGGGGGTGAATCGAACTATGAATAATTATTGATTTTAATAATATCAATATATTTTTAGACATTATTATTTAATACATCATTATTTATTAACTCATTCCTCAAATATAATAATATCTCAGACTTTGCCATTTTCAACCAAAATGAAATTTCACAAGAAATTACCTTCGAAATATTATATCTGTTTGTGGTTACCTTAATACACGGCAAAGATGATCTAGGAATATTTCAAGACAAACTTCAGGCTTTTATTCATAAACTAAGGAGAGGTTGTTACATTATATTTGAACACGTATTCACAATCAGGGTTGCCATGTCTCCCCATCGTGGGAGTCTCCCACAATTTTTTAGTTTACCCACATACATCTCACTCCCACAAAACTCCCACAATTAGAAATCTCCCACAAAAGCTCCCACAAAAGTTCCCACAATATTTTAATTTCTCCCACAATTTTTTTTTTATAGCATTTTAATGTTTTTAATATATAAATAATAATTTTGAGAGACAGTATTTGATTATTTTTATATTTTTAAAATAAATTTTAAATATTTATTCGAAAAATATGTCTAGTTCTTTTATTTTATTTTTCCGCTCTAAAATATATTTTTTATAAAATTCTCCAATTCTTTATTCCACATTTTCAAAATTTTTGTGTTAGAAAGAATAGAAGTTAGAACAGTATGTATAAATATTATAAATATATTTTAAATTACTTAATATATTTTATATCGTTATCTAGAATTGCAGTGCTCCACTCGACATTTTCAAAATTTTTGTGTTAGAAGAATAGAACTTTTAGAAGTTGATATTATATCCCATATACCAAACAGATTTAAGTAATAAAATGTTCTATTTTGCTAGGGAGCAAAAATATGTTTGGTTGATGAGGCTTACGGATAGCCATGCTAAATGTAGAATATGTTCTGCAGTATTTATTTACTACAATGGGGGGGGATATGATATTTTGCAACATCAAAAATCGTCAAAGCATAAGTCAGTACAGGGGAGTCTATCAAGGTCTATTGCAATACAAAAATATTCCAAAAATAATAAATAATACAGATGCAACTACAATTGCGGAAACTGTATACACATATCATGTAGTTTAACATTCACAGAGCTATCTGTCATCACAATGTGGGTCGAATCTTTTCCCCATAATATTTAACGACTCCAAAATAAGTGCTAACTTTACTTATGGTAGGACAAAAATGAGCAAGGCTATCACAAATGTGTTAGGACCTGAATCCAAGAGGTCAATTCTAGACGATTTGAAAGAAGGACATCCATATGCTATTTTAACAGATACATCAAATAAGGGAAATATTAAAACATTTTCCCTGATCCTTCGCTATTTCAAGAAAAATAAGGGCATTTCTATAAAACTATTGAAATTTTTTTCATCCGATATAGTGAAAAATCCAACGATATAGATAACCACAAATGATAAATATAGCTGATTCAGGGTTATCAATGAGTTGCATGTCAGCTTTCTGCGCTGATAATGCCTCTGTTAATTTTGGCAAAAATCAAAATGTATTTACCGAATTGAGGCAGTACAATAATGAATTAATACCAATTGGCTGTATATGCCACATATACTGCATAATTCTTGCAAGAAGGCAATGAATGTACTATCTGTAGATTTCGAAATAATTGTGATGAAATGTTTTAACGAATTTAGTTCATCAACTAAAAGAGTCACTGAATTAAAATTGGTGGAGTGGTCTGATTTGTAATGGTGTGAGTTGTTGCGATATGCACCTATCAGGTGGTTATCATTAATACCTGCCATCGAGAGAATTTTAAAATTTTACGAACCCTTAAAGTAATACTTCTTAAATAAAGATTTTAAAAGCTGTCCTAAAATTTTGAAAAATTTTTTCGAGGATGAAATGTCAGAAGCATATTTGGGATTAGTTTCACATGTAGGAAATCTACTTCATGTAGTTAATATTCAGTTGCAATCAGAAGATTCTTTATTGATAAAGATTCACAAAATCATGCTACAGCTCTGTTCATCTCTACAGTTAAAAATAGATGATAAATTTTATGGCGCTATAGCTAAAAATATCATATTAAAATGTTCAAATATTACTATAATTAACGTATTTTTAAATGAAGCAAATATTTTTATTAAGACAATTTTGGAATATTTACAATCAAGATTTGATTTTAATAACTCTATTTACAATGCATAAATATTATGACCTTGGAACAGAAACCATCATTTGATGGTTTTTGTAATTTAATAAATATATTAAAATTACCGATAGACATTGAAACCTTGTTTGAAGAGATTGTAATTTTTTCCATTTTTTATGATTCGCCAGAATACTTAAAGTTAGATGGTCTAAAAGCAGAGGAGAAATGGGTGGGATTTTTTCATAATAACGATAAATCCGCATGCATGGAAAAAATTTGCGAGTATGTTTTCTCCTTACCTCATTTTAATGCCTCATCGGAGCGCATTTTTAGCCTGATGAGGACTGCCTGGAGAAAGGAGAGAAATCGAATTGCTTTAACAACATTAGAGGCCGAGTTAATGGTTAAACAAAATTATAAAATGTCATGCCAGGAATTTTATAAATATCTTAATAACGACGGTAAACGTTTAGTTCCATTATTTAAATCTCAAATAAAATATAATTAACTATAACTATTTGACTTTCTATATTTTATAAAATCTTATTTATACATTTGCATAAAATCAAATAAATTAATTCCTAAATATACTTCTGCCATTTATTTTTGAAATTTTTTTTCAATATTAGGACAGCTTTTATAATCTATTTATTTTTTAAAGGTTTGTAAAATTTTAAAATTCTACGATGGCGCGTATTAGGAGGAACCTGTCAACCAACATTATGCTGACTCAATTCTGTAAATACACTCTGGTTTTTGCCAAATTCACTGAGGAATTATCAGATCAGAAAGCTGCCATGCAATTCATTGGTAATTCAAAATCTGCCATATTTACCATTATATATGGTTAGCTATGTCTTTGGATATTTCATATCTGGAGAAAAATTTTTTAATAGTTTTATTGAAATGACATTAATTTTGTTGAAATAGGGGAGGATCAAGGGAAATGTTTTGATATCTCCTTATTAGATGCATCTGTTAGAATTGCATATGTTTGCACATCTTTCAAATCGTCAAGAATTGACCTTCTGGATTTATATCCTAAAACATTGATGATAGCCTTGCTCATTTGTGTTCTACAAAGTATACTTTTTATATTAGTCGTTAAATATTATGGGGAAAGATTCTACCAACATTGTGATGTTAAGTAGCTCTCTGAATGTTGTACTGCATGATAGGTATTTACCATTTCCGCAACTGTAGTTGCATCTGTATTATTTCTTATTTTTGAAGAATATTTTTGTTTTGCAATAGATGTTGATAGACTGCCCTGTACTGATTTATGCTTTGAAGATTTTTGATGCCTCAAAATATCATATTCCCTTCCCCCATTGTATTAACTAAATACTGTAGAACAACTTCCCCGCACTGATTATAATAATTTTTTACATTGTAAATTTAAAATTGTTTGTTTTTTTATAAAATCTTATTTATACAATAGCATAAAATATATTTTTTTAGATTGTAAAATTACAATTTTTTTATAAAATTTTATCTTGTTTACATTCTTTTGTATTTAAAAAAGATCGTTGGTTATTATTTTTAAACAAAATTAATATATTATAATAAATCATTATGTTATTTTAATAATAAAGATAGTATTTAAGAAATTTTGTGTCGTACTATAATTACCTATTTTGAAAAATAGTTGCGTATTTTATTTTGTAAAATAGTTACCTATTTTATTTTGAAAAAGAGTTGGATATTTTATTTTGAAAAATAGTTGGCTATTTTATTTTGGAAAATAGATTCGATTTTATATTTATAAAAAATAATAAGCGGATAACTAAGTCAATTCTAAATCTCGGCCGCAGGCCGGTCCTTTGTGGGCCGAAGGCCCGCAAAATTTTTTTTTTATGCAATTTTTATATTTCTCTTACAATTTTTATATTACTCCCACAAAATACCGAATTTCTCCCACAATTTGAAAATTTTGACCTGGCAACCCTGTTCACAATAGAGATATTATTTAAATATGTTTTAATGTAAATTTATACTAGGGTGTTAATTTTTAAGGTTTTATGAATGATTTTACTTATACATACCTTGGATTTAAAAAAAATGAATACAACCAAAATTTGATTATATAATCTAGTATGTATAATTAGGTAATGGCTTAAAATAGGATAATTAGGTCTAATAAACATTCAATGCTTAAGATAATCTGATAAACAAAAAGCAACAATGAGTTTTGAGCTAATATATTTTTGCCTTCTTTTAATTTGAGCTCAATGGCATATAATAACATCTATACTGACTATGCATTCATTAAAAGTGTACATCAATGAAAACAGCTGGGGACACCATTTTAATTACCCATATCATTATTAAAAATTTTAAATTGAGAGGCCAATTTATCCTATGTCTGAGGCAAACTATATTAAATAATTGCCTGATCATCGAGATAATGGGGAAGCAAGTTATCAATTTAATAATACTATATGGTTTACCAAAATGGCGGATCCAGCTGATTTGTATTCAACGATACTTTCAAATGCATATTAATGAAATGTCATTGGTTGAGCTATATTATTTTTAAACCTGTAGCTCATGAGATAGTTTTTAGTCCTAAAATAGGTCTAATTATTTTTTTAGCCCACTGGGCTAAAGAATTATAACTTCTTGTTTTATATTTTTCTTTTCCAAATGATTATTTTTTTGCAAATTTTTCATTTGTTTTTTTACACAATGATGAATTTATTTTATTTTAATAAAGTTCGATAAATCTATATTAAATACTGTTTTAAAAAGTAATACTGCTATAATGTATTTTTTTTCTTTATTTTAAGATTTTCCTCCAGATCAAGTGCCAGTAATTTTAGCCCCACATTTGTATCCCTACAATCGGAGACTTCGCACACCTTTTAACGAAGAATTACATGGTTATATTTAATTTAAATAATTATTTGGCTTCTATATTTTATTTTAAATTACTATCCGTTTATGGTTAGCAAAAATCATGACAACTCACGATTTTCTTTGTTTAAATTGAGTTTAAAACAATTTTTTAAAAAAATTTTAATTACTTCTTTTTTGAACAAAGTTTATTTTAAATAATTAATTGTTATAAGTTTATTGAGATAATAATAAGTTATAAAAAACTTGATACCTTTTGAAATATAATTAAATTCGTTTTTTAGTAGCTGTTTCTTATTTAATTTTTTTCATAGAAAAAAAATGTATACTAACTTTCTTATTATTTTTACCTCAACCTAACTTAATTTTCTTTATATTCTCTTTTATCATCTCTTGAAAGAAAGAAAAAAAGGAAGGAAGGAAGGAAGGAAGGAAGAATGAATTAGAAAGTGTTAAAAAGATTAATAACCAACACTGACTGATGGAAGGCGATGAAAAAAATTCCTTACATGATTGCTTATCTTTAAAAAAAATCAATCATACTGAGTTTGCTTTATATTCTTTTATCATCTCTTGAAAGAAAGAAAAAAAGAAAGAAAGGAAGGAAGAAGAATGAATTAGAAAGTATTAAAAAGATTAATAACCAACACTGACTGATGGAAGGCGATGAAAAAGATTCCTTACATGATTGCTTTACATTAAAAAAAACAAATCATTAGATCATTACTCAACACTTGGGAGGATATTTATTAAAAATTAAATTAAATTGCACATATGTTTCATAACATGAGTTAGAATGTAGAACGAACGCATTTTATGAATATATTTATGTATTTATTATTATAAGGTATTTCGGGTTACACATCATTTCATTAAAAATCATTTTTTTTTGATAATAAGATTTCCCTTCAAAAATTATTTTAAATGTGGGAAATAAGATTATCCAAAAATATTAAAACAAAGAATATCCGACAAATAGAAACTTTTTAGGATATCTCAAAATTGTGGCCCGAATTTTTTTTTTTATTGAATATTGGAATTTTAAGTTATTTATTTTATTTTTTTAAGAGTTTCCCAAGAGGGAACCATAATTTTGTCTAAAAATTTCACCTTGAATTTTTTTGGCGCATATATAAATATTCTCTGGCTTCGTTTGTAAAAAGCCATATTTTATTGCCAAGATTTTTTTTAAAAAAAAACTTATATGTTGATAGCTGAAAATGGCAATTCGAAAATGATTTTCTTTAACCCCTACCTTAAGAATTCTTATTAAACGTGATTACTTGTCAAGGATATATATATATATATCAAATTCATTCATGTAAAAGAAATAAAGATGTTGACATACCATAATTAATTATAATTTTTATTTCCAATTTGTATTATAAAGCTAAATCATGTGTTAATAATTTAAAATGGCATCGCATATGGATGTCCAAATTGTTGAAAGTGATTCAGAGTCAGACAATGATATTATCGAAATGGAAGATATCAGGGAAGAAAATGATATTCATAGCAATACTTTCCCATTCCCTAGATTTGAAAAATTTTTTAAGATAAATATTAAAACGAAAACTGGCTTCAAATTTATTTGTTTAAAATGTAAAAAAAAATATTTCCTCAAATCAATCTAGTAGCTATAACCTCAAGAAACACCTAAAGGTAAATTGTCATTTTTACATTATAATAGTATTTATTTTATAAGACTGTTCATGCTAATAGTTTTACTGATATGGAAAAACATATAAATAATTTTGGCATAGGGGACTCGACATCCAAAAAGACTAATTCAATTCAAGATCAAATTAATTAATAATACAAATGCCAATATTTCTCAAAAATTGACCGATAAAGTTATTGTAGATTTTATAATTGATACAGTTCAGCCAATGTCCTTGGTTGATAACCCATCATTTACCATGATGATTAAAACTTTATCACCTGGTACAACTATTTTATGTCTCCAGACACTTATGAATAAAATAGCAGATAAGTTTAAAGTGATGAAAGATGCTCTAATAGTAGCGTTATCAGAGATATCATATATATGTACCTCGGCAGATAGTTGGACACATAACAGATGGTAAACACTTATTTATATTTATAAATTGATCTTATTAAATATTTTTAGAGCTTATTTGGGAATAACTTATCTGCTATTTTATTCATAAGTGTCTGGCGACATAAAATAGTTGTATTGGGTGAAAACGTTTTAGTTATCATGGTAAATGATGGATTATCAACCAAGGACATTGGCTGAACTGTATCAATTATAAAATCTATAATAACTTTATCAGTCAATTTCTGAGTAATATTGGCATTTGTATTATTAATTAATTTGGTCTGAATTAAATTAGTCTTTTTGGATGTAGAGTCCCCTCTGCCAAAATTATTTATATGTTTTTACATTTCCTTAAAACTATTTCTTATAAAATAAATACTATTATGATGTAAAAATGTTAATTTACTTTTAGGTGTTTCGTGAGGTTATAGCTAATAGATTGATTTGAGGAAATATTTTTTTTTACATTTTAAACAAATAAATTTGAAGCCAGTTTTCGTTTTAATATTTATCTCGAAAATTTTTTTAAATCTAGGGAATGTGAAAGTATTGCTATGAATATCATTTTCTTCCCTGGTATCTTCCATTTCATTAGTGTCATTGTCTGAGACTCTGAATCTTTTTCAAAGATTTGGATAATTGCACTAATAATCACCACTTGCTAGACCAAAAAAGTTAATTTTTTTTGTTTCAATTTTTTTGGCATAGTAGAAAAATAACTGCTGACCCTAATCGCAATAGTGGAAAAACTATTTAATATTCTAAATATAAAAAGAAACTAATATCAAAAATCAATACATATTTAAAAAAAAATTTATATTTATTTTAATAATAATTAAAAAAATAAATAATCTATTAATTTGTAAAAATTAAGAAATAACATATATTAAAAATCACAAGTAATATATTTATATCGTCGACATTTGGTATTTAGAATTTAATTGCTTAAATATAAAATAAATTTAATTTTCCTGCCTTTTCTAAGCTTCGAGCGAACAACTCCATGCGCTGAGAATACTCTCTCTACTGAAGTGAATGATGATGATGATGCAGTAAATAGTTGTCTTATAATACTTACACCCATCATCACATTTCCTTGGGCCACACACCATTCAATTGGGTATCCGAAAACAAAATTTAGTAAATGTTTCTGATCTTGCTGGAAACTTTACTAAGAGAAAGATATAAGTCAGTTTTGGATACGGAAGCCTCCCACATTCCATTTCCCGTTTCCATTACATTGTTTGTTAAATTTGAATGACATTTCTGATTTAAAAGGTAGGGCAAGAAGTGTGCAGGATTGCAAATTCTTCCAACAAATATACTGTGTCTGAAATATTTGATTTATTTTTTTTCTAAAAAATTTCAAACAGGTCGCGATTGGTTTTAGGATTTCAAATCATATTTTCAGCAGCTCTTTTAGAGTGTAATATTTTCAATCATTTTTTTTCTCTAATTTGCAATGTCGATTTTATTTTGATTTGCCTTCACGTATCTATCAATCATTTTGCCCATTCCAGTTATAATATAGGCTTTTATACTAACAGCTGAGTTTTAACGAATATCTTGTTGAGTGACACGAGATGGCCACTCCCTCTTGTTTCAGCTTGAAACTCGCGAACTGATTATCTTTGTAAAATACGTTACCCTCACTAACTATTTGTTTCCCGGTTACTTTTAAAAAATTATTTTCCAAATCTTTCAGATAGTAAATTTAAAGAATGAGTATTTACACCCATCATAGGTTATTATATAATTTTTTTTTTTAAATTATTTCTTTTTCAAATCATTCCCTCCATTTTTTGTCATATTGGCTGCATTGATCTCAGCTCTTTATTCGAAAAAAATATCAAATTACAACATATATCATTATTTTATTTTTTCTACAATTCCCTGACTCGTTCCCCTTGCGCATTAGTCCTTTACTTGCAAGATAATATTAAACTGGAATTTTAAAAAAAAATGAGTTGGGTCACGATTTTTGCCAACCTTTGTCAGTATATGATCTTAACTTCAAATGTTAACTGAGAATTCAATAAAATATATAAATTTTGGTACATTTTTTTTTAAGATACGGATCCCATGTTGGTGCGGAAACTGGTGAGAGAAATCCCCGCCATAACCAAGACCATGGTAGACGTGTCTAAATTGGTGACGGAACTCGGTTACGATTTCTGTTCTAGTCTCGAGACCTGTCAGAGTGACCTCATAGAAATAGGTATAATTACCTCGAATTAGTTTTGTTTAAATTAATGACCTGCATCGGGCCTAATTTTTCGACTCCGACCCCAACCCAAAAAAGGTCTTGCCGGCTAGGTCCCAATTCATTTAAATATAGATTGACAGTTATATAAATTTTTACAAAATATATAACCAACACATTAAGTCATTGATTTGACGTGATCATCCAGTATTACTTTATTGATAAGAGATCTACACCCCCCCCCTTCCCCATCTTCACATTTGTTCGACTAAATGATAAATAAAATTACACACACAATAATATCGAATTGGGAGGAATTACGAAATTTAATATTTTCCGCAAATTATTAGGCGTGCACGAAATCACTCCGGCTTCCGTTGCGAGGATTCTCGGCGGGATGGCGAGTTCCCACGCGGGACTAATTGATGGAATTTCGCTTTATTACGATGGCAGAGTTATTATTTTTTTTATTTTATATTAACAGTTATTATCTTATATCCTTTTTATTTTGCTGGTATTATTTTTTAAGATTTTTACAAATTTTCTCGTGATTCTAGATAATCTCCTCAAAAAAATAACTTAAAATACACTAGCCGTGATTTAATTGTTTTTTTAAAAAAAATAAATAAAATGTTAGAATACTAGCAGTTCTGATAACTCCACCAGGAGCGAACCCAAGGATGCCAACAAACCCCAGGAATGTACTTCGTGGAACACGGAGATATTCGTAAAGGCTATGAAAGAAGTGGTTAGTAATCAGTAATTTTTATGAAACTTAATTTCTCTCAACACATTATTTATATTTGAACATTATCTTTATTATTAGTATTCTTCACTAATTTCGACAACAGTTTATTTTTTTAAGAATATAAATATATTAAACAATACTTTACATCATCTCTCTAACAGGCCTATAGGATATAATGATGCATCAAGATTTGGGCCATGATTATCAAATTTCTATTGTTCATTACCAAATTTAATCTTATCTTGCTAAATCAAATTTTAAATTTACTATTCAAATATATCTTTTGGCCAATATAACATTTTTTTATTATTATTAATATACGTGTAATCAGCGCAGTTGCTAATAGATGTTTTTTTTGGAAGGTTCTAGATACAAATACTTTTTATATAAAAATGTATCTGGATACTTATACATCTCTGATATTCAGAGAATCTGCAAATCGAAATTTTAAGTCAGATGGGTGGGGGGGGATATTTTAATTTTTGGCACAAATGGTTTGGACCTCTCTAAAAGAATATTTTGAATGATTTTGTGGTGTATTTTTCAAATTGCTTCACGAGGAAAATAAAAATATGAACGTAAATGAATATTAAGTGCTCCATTATACAATTTTTTTTTAAAAAAAATAAATAAAAATCGTCTGCCGCATATTTTTATTTTAAAATTAAAATCGTCTGCCACATATTTTTTTTATTGGCATATGTGCCGGTCTCCCCATATAATATATTACATGATATACGCAAATGTATAAAATAAATTAAAATTATTCGTTTACACTTGAAAGGAAGGAAGGAAGGAAGGAGACAGAAGGAAAGGAAGGAAGTAAGATAGAAAACATTATAAAATCAAATTTCTTTTTTTTATTGTAAAAATAGGTACCGCATTTTCACTGGCGAGACGTAGTTTACGAGCTTGATCAACCTGGACTTATCTTGAAGGAAAAGCAAGGTTTCTAATAAATAACAGCACTGAGGAATTCTAGGAGTCCAACATATTTTTAAATATTCATTGAATCTCTAAACTTAGTTATGACTGGAAACTCTCCCTTTATTCCTCCTTCCATAATTTTTTTTGGAATGAGATGATGAAAATTTAAATATTCTTTCTTTTTTTAAAAAAATATATATATATCAGGCTTTAAATTAATCATGGAGGCTATCACTTTGGGCTTGGAGTTCAACATGGAAACCTTCCCTGTGGATTTTTTCTACAGAAGCTGGAACAACTCGGAAGAACAAGTAGGAAGAATAAACTGTAGATATTTTGATTGGCATCTTTATTTTTCAGATTATAAGGCGTAATGTTCTAGAACATTGTAGAATTAGATTGGGATTTTTTTGGAGGGGATAGAATATGAGGCTAAAGAATAATAATTATTTTTAGCCAACCTAAATCTGGCTTTTGAGCAACACTAGTACGAACCCTAACTCCATGGCATTCCCTAGAGGATCGAAAAAAAATTAGGGAACTTGTCAATAAGCGAATTTTTTAAACCACTTAGTGGTAAACACGAAATAAAAGTTTTTAATTTTATTATATGTATATTTTTTTTTAAATAAAAAAAGCTCTCGTGGCTGGAATTGATCGTTCAAAACCCCGACGTTCTCTGCTTTTCCGATTTTCCTTCTAGACAAATCTCCACCGAGATCCTCAAGTTAAACCCCGAAGAGGAATGCGATAGAAAAACCCATATCTGGTGAGAAAATGAGAAAAGGAAAGACAGAGGGGAGGGATTGGGTTGGTGTAAATAAAATCATGATGGGTATAACTGGGAATGAGTTTTGTTAGTATTTTTTTTATAAATAAAAGAAAGGAAAAAAATAGAATAGAACAAATAAAATTAAAAGAAAATGAAAGGATAATAAATGTCGTGAGCAATAAAAATGTACATTTTAGAGTTTAGTAGCCCGGGCCATGTGAAAAAAATTTTAAAAACAAGAGATGGGAAAATTGTATTCATTTTGATTACGTATTTTGCAGTGAATATTTAACATGTGTAATGATTCTATCCATAAAAAAAATATTACTGTGAACATCTAACTTGAGCCTTTTTTTATATTTAAAAATATTTCATCCTTTTTTACCGCCAGGAAATCTCTGGACATGATAGAAGCCCTCCTGAAATTATCGGAGCGAGGCCATTACCAAAGGGTCCAAGAACTTTTCCGGTTTCCGCTGCAAAATTGTCCCGAGATTCTGATGCTGGCCTTGCTTCAGATCAAGGGCTTGCTCACCCTCCTCGGGCAGGATCTGTTGGCCTCCCTTATACCCCATTTTTTGTCCAACAACTCGAATTCGTTGATCGTACTGCAAATCGCCTGGCATAATCAGGTACTTATTATTATTATTATTTGTTACTTACTTATTAAATGGTACTTTTGCATATTTTGAAGAATTTATTTACCGTAAATGGGAGGATAAGGATCCCAATAGAGCATAATTTAATAGCTATCATAAATAATGTTCTTATAATTAAAGTCCCTCTCATATTCTTTGAAGTAAACAATTAAGGAAATTAAAAAAAAAAATTTTTTAATATAATATGATAGAAAATTTTGAATTCTGTTGGGAATCGACTTTTTTTTTCTCGTTGATTTAAATATCTCTTCCTAAAACTCCAGTATCATTCCAACATAACTCGAACTCTCATAATGCATTCGATGGCCGATTGGTATGTCAAAGATCCTAACGATCAAAGCAGACTTTCCAGGATTCTAGACATAGCACAAGATTTGAAGGTTAGCACTTATTAGCTGGGGGATGGGTACTTATATTACGGGGCGGGATTGATTTTGCTATTCCTTAAAGAGGTTGTGTCTATCCCCGCTTTAGTTTTTTAAAAATTTTAAAACTCATACAGAATTTTTTTAAATGCTGCTTTGTAATAATGTAGATAATCTTGTTAAACTGCTTAACGGCTTGATTTAGCCATTTTCAAATTAAGGATTTTAGCCAAAATAATATTTTCTCAAGTTTCTAGATCTAAATCTTTCTGCCTTCTATGAGCAAGATCTCCAGACTCGCGTATTATTTTTTGGCTAAAATACTGGGCTAGCCGTTTTTAAGAATCCGACTGTACGTAGATGGATAGCTACCCGCGTGGATAACTACCCGCGGTTCTGTTTAAGAGAGCTTATTCAAAACAATGCCATATATAATGCCTAGACTGACGATTCATTCATTAAAATGCATTTTTAAGCGTCGTTAAAAGCAAATCAGCTGGACCGGCCATTTTGGTAACACATATAGTAATTATTCTCATGTTAAAAAAACTACTATTAAATTGATAACTTGCTTCCTTATTATCTCAATGATCCGGTAATTCTTTAATAAAGTTTGCATCAGATATAGGAATAAATTAGGCTCTCGTCTAAAATTTTAATAATGATTAGTGTAACCAAGATGGCATCTCCTGCTGATTTGCATTGATGTACACTTTTAATGAATGAATCGTCAGTCTAGGTATTATATATTTCATTGATTCAAAATTGATTATAAAATGCTTAGGTTTTTTTTATATTGTCTTCTAATATTGGAGGTTTTAGGCCTGGTTCACATTATATCAAAGGCCGGGCAGGCTCATATCCGGTTCCTAGTGCGCATGGGCCTACCCTGGGTTTTTTAATTTTTTTTAAGGGCTGGGCATGGGCTTGTAAAAATATTAAATTTAAATTTAGCTTATTTAAAAACAGTTGCGAACTTAAAGAAATATTGCCATTTTTTTTTCTAATAATAAATTTCAGTACTTCTCCGTTTAATGGCGATTTCCAGGTTTCTGGTTTAATCATTAGGAAATTTTGTAGTGGCAAGGTTTTTACAATCTGATGCCCTTCCCGACATCAACCCCTTTAGCTGGTTTTTATGCCCTGTCGAAGGAGGCCGTGATAACCAACACCACCCTAAAATTAAATGAATAAATTTTTAACTCCAAATTGTAATCGCCAACTAAAATATATAACTACAAAAATAATAAACAAAAAGTTAAAACGTCATTATAATCATAAAATCTCGTCCCTTTTATACTTTTTTTGGGACAGAAATCACGTGTTCTACACGTGATATATAAAATCGGGCGACTATTTATAAATATGATAAATATTAAACGAATAATTTTTTTTTAAAAAAATAAATTATTTCAAAATAATTAATATGACAAAAATGATCGAAATACACTTAATATTGTTTATTTTTTATTAAATATAATAAATCATTTTTTTTGAAACTTATTAGGCTTGGGAATTTTTTTTAATATTGAATATATGCTGGGCCAGGGCTTAAATTTTTTTTTACTGCAGACCTAAGCCGGGATTGGTCAAAAAATTAAAATCTGCAAACTTCTCTGCATTATATCAAGTTTGAACCTATCCAACCAATCAAATTACTTATTTAAATAACGAGCGTTAGTAAAAATAAAAAATTATTTTTTTTTAAGCATAAGTGATAATGGAAATAAAATAGTATTTTAATGTGTGCTATATTTTGTTTTATACAAAACATGCCTCATTTTCTAATCCCCCCCCCCCCCAAAGAGGGTTATATTTATATTTTAATTAAGCGTGAATGAATGGGTATGTCATTTCTTTTCTTTCTTTATTTCTTTCTATCTTATAAATCGTAAACTAATTTTATTTCTTTTTTTTTATTATCCAGGCTTTGTCCTTGCTATTGAACTGCACCCCCTTCGGCTTTATCATAGACCTGGCTTGCCTTGCCTCGAGACGAGAGTACCTGAAACTGGAAAAATGGTTGGCGGAAAAGATAAGGGAACACTCGGAACCATTTATATGGGCCCTGATCTATTTCCTCAAGAGAAGGTACTTAAATTATGTTTCAACTCTTTTCCTCGATATAAGATTATTACAATTTATTTCCTCTGTAACCTCCTCCCCCCCCCCCATACCTTTCATCTTCGGCTTAAAAGGAAAGCATTTTTAAAATATACGGCCTTACAATACGGGGCTCTACTGAGTCAGAACCTGAACACCCCTTTGGAACTGTACGGACTGGATCCAGAAGGTAATTTTTAATATTTTAGTGACCCGAACAGAAACTACTTTTATACTCCTAAGTGCTTAAAATTGGCTCATCTCCATTTTTCACCAGGGCCGGTTAGAATCATTAAAAACAGAAACGATCGGTTTCGGAATGACGAAAACCATTTCAATATCACCGCGACTTTTTATTTTGTTTTTTTTTTTACTTAGATGCCCAAACATTTTCGCTTCCTCCTCCACTAGCAGGATAAGCGCCATAGTAGCGAACACCACCAGCCAAAATGGCGGGAATAATAATAACGGTAACAAAGATATCTCGCTGCCCAAGGCCTTACAGCTGCCAACGGAAATCGTCAATATCATGCTGAATACTTTGCAGGTACTTTTGAAAGAGGAGAGAGAGAAAAAAAATCGACATTTTTTTTATAATACCACACAAGGAAAGTAAGAATAGGAACCTTATTATGTATTAAACCTTTCTAAACTTCGCCTGAAGTTCTAGGTAACAGTAGGATCCTCTAATACAGGGGGATACTATTGTAGTCGAATTATTTTACGTTTTAGTTTTCAGCCTCGGCATTTTTTGGACTTAAAGGAGGCTAATGGGCGCTACATGTCAGGCGCTTATTTGATTTATATTTGTCTAAATACGCACGTGTTCATAAACATTTATTATTATCAAGAATTTCCTCTCCTCTCACACCTCTAACAACAACAATATCTTGGGAATGAACAAAAGTCACTTATTTCCCTCTTCCCAAAGTGGGGGCTCGCTTCTATCACCCTCCTCCTTTTATCAAAATAAGCTCCTTTCGGCTTCTTCGTCCAACCAGCAAGTGAGCGAGGAACTGATCGAATTTCTACAAGCGCTGTGCCATCATTCCAATGCCTCAATCGCTAACACCAACTTGAGTGAGTTTTTTTTTCTACCCTGGCTGCCTTTATATCCGCTAATTATATGTTACCCCTACAAATCCAAAGCTAATTGACTATTTGTATGGTGCATTAGTGATCTGCATTGGAGTAATTATAAAGATTAATTTCTATATTTAAATAAATTCGGGCCGGGCTGGGTTGGTAAATTTTTTTATTTTTTTTTAAAAATATTAGGCCCGAAGCCCGTTTGGGCCGGGCCGGACTTGGGCAGGGTACGGGCCGGGCCTAACTTTGCAGATATCTATGGTGCATATTAAGTTGCAACTACTCTAGACAGTTGTATCTTAAAAACATACTCGCTCACGAAAATTGAATTATCCTTTGAAGGTAGTCCTGTATATCCCAATAAATTCTTTGATCAAATTTACTATTTTTTTTTGGTTTGTATTTAGGTTTGCCTGGAAGCATCACCAATTCTGGCAACAAAAAGTCTCCTCCCCAATCTCTAGCGCCATTGCAACCTAATATAGCCGGCAACAGAAGTATGTTCTAATCGATTAATCGATGACGTTATAATACTACCTAAATGTGTGGTTTGTTAAACGACTCGTCCAATATTTTAGCCAAAAATATCATTGCAACCCTGGAGATTCTGCTCATAGATGGCAGGAAGTGTTGGATATCTATTATTGAAACTTCGAGGCTTGCGTGATATTAATTTTCAGAGTTGTTAAAGGATCTAGGTATCTAGATCCTGTATCTAGATATAAAAATGTTGTATCTGTATCTAGATAAAATTTTGATTAAAGTATCGGTATCTAGATATTATTTTAGGCGATGTATCTGTATCTAGATCCATTTAAAAAGTATCTTTTAACAACTCTGTTAATTTTGGCTAAAATTTTTAATTTAAAAAATGGCGAAATCGAGTCGCTTAGCAAACGCTAAAAATTGCGTATCATTTGTGAATCAGCTGGTTAGCCATTTTGGTAAATTTATTAACATGTAAATCCAAATGGCGTGACAATTTAAACGACATCTCAAAAATGCATTTTAATGAATGAACCATCAAACTAGGCAAGTATTATATTTCTTTGGTTCTAATCAATGACAAGACTGACGATGCATTTCATTAAAATGCATTTTTAAAGCGTCGTTAAAAGCAAATCGTCTGTACCCGCCATTTTGGTAACCCATATAGTAATTATTATCATGTTAAAATATTACTATTAAATTGATAACTTGCTTCCTTATTATCTCGATGATCAGACAATTCTTTAATAAAGTTTGCGTCAGACATCATTGGAATAAATTGGCCTCTCGTTTAAAATTTTATAATAATGATATGGGTAATCAAAATGGCGTCCCCAGCTGTTTTTCATTGATGTATTCTTCTATGATTGCATCGTCCGTCTAAGTATTATTATATTTCTTTTGTTCTAATGCGTGAATATTTTATATTTTTTAAATAGCCAAATCGATTTATTCATTGTTATAAAAAAAATATTTAAAAATTTTATTTTAATTTTAATATATTTTTTTTCTCCCAATAAAATATTGCGTAAAATAATTTTTAAATATTTTTTTTTTTAAATACAAAAATGCCTATTCTTTTTTCTTCAAAATTAATAAATTTATTTATTTTATATATATTTTTTTTTAATATTTAGGACACAAACTTTAAATTATAATTATTTTTTTTAAAAAAATATATTTTTTAAGTTGGATTTCGATATAAACGTAAGCTCTTGTTATTAATTGCCGATTAATTTTAATTTTTTTTAATATAAGCCATTATTTTTATATTATTTTTTATCGTATTTATATTCGCCTAGATTATTTAAATGTTCCAACTGCATATTTTGTTAAATCTAATATTTTTTGTAGAGGGGCATCTTACTTATTTTATAAATAACCTCACCCCCCAATCCCTCTCGAAATAAAATAATTTGATGCACCATCATAGGGTTTAAGACGTTTTTCTTTTTTTTTGCAAAAGGGGTTGTTATATATTTTTACTGTATGGATCAACCCGACTAAACTCATTTAGCGGAGGTTTCGATAGCAAAGAACCTAAGCGAAAACCGATTTTTCTAAAAAGGTCCCAACCCGCGTCCACATTTCCCTTCGATTGGTTTCCCAGTGGATCGTTTTCTGCTTGGTTTATGGTCTCAAAATGGCCAACCAAACAATTTTAAATACCATCTGGTAAGAATATTTTTGACATTTTAATGACTCAGCCCTAGGGTCACGTATATTAATAGAGGGGGCAAGATGTTCTATGCAAGTAAAATCTCAGACTAAGGGTTTGCCTGATACAAATATGACTAGTTTTGCCGTCAGGGCATTTTTTTTATCTATGCTGAACCCTTGCTCCCGCGACCTTGATTTGAAACGATATCTTAAATAAAGCAGATTGTCTAATAGAAGTGTTAGTACCCTTATAATCATCGAACCACTTATAGTATCACATGATTTATTATATATATATATATTATAAATTGTCTAAACCTTTAGTTTTTTAAATCTTTTCACTGGCGCATATGATAATTAACTTAAAAAATCTTGATCTAAATTTGACAAGGTGCTCCCTTCGATCAGTCGCCCCAACAGCAAAAGGCCTTGAACGTTATGATGAACAACATACTCTCCATGCCCACGCTTCCTCAACTCCAGAATAATCCTAACTCGAACGCCAACACTATCAATAACCCTGCTAACACTTCCTCCTCTAACAATGCTAACAGCAATAACCCAGGCGGCATTAATAACGCCGCTAATTTAATCATGGATCAGCTCCTCTCCAATATAACGGCCTCCTTCCAGACCGAAGAGAACGCTAATGATTCGAGCGTCATGCAATCTCGTAACAATCAGATGGACTTGGATCAGGGCGGTAGAAATAGCAACGCTATGACCACCTCCCCTTTCGACGCTATTCTGGCTAGGGCCATGAGTGCTCCAGCTGGTAAGAAAAAATATTATAAAAACGATTTTCTTTTTGAAATCCCTTCCAACCCCCCCCACCTCGTTCTGATATTCTTAAAAAAGAAAAATTTTAATAACTCTGATTAATTAATTTAATGAAAAACGTCCAATTATCTTATAAACTATTTACGTCATTTATATATCTCGTAATTAGACAACGACATGTCGGAAGTGGACGCGTACGCGAAGCGATTACAGCATCAGATGGTTTCTAACGATAATCCGGGTGTCGATAATGCTAACACAACTTCTAACCAACCAAGTCAAAAAAAATGAATTTAAAGAGAATTGATGTAGAAAAAAAAGTAGTGTTTGCTAAAAAAAACCCCGATTTGGATCGATAAAAATCCGGGCCGGGTCTAAATATTTTTTTATAATAAATCCGGACCGGGCCTGGCAGTGCAGATACGAGACCCGATTTAAACGGATCTGGAAGAACTCGCGAATAATGATGAAATGGGTCATTTTCTAATTGGATAATTAGTCTAAGAGCTTTTGAGATATGATCTCTAAAAAAATCATTCATAGATGCAATAGAAAACACCACCCCCCTACTCCCACCCTCTTCGGTACCAAATTGATAATATATATTATTGTTATTTTTTGTAAAAAAAAACACTCACTTTACAAATAGACTTATTCACGGTGGATCTATCTGCGATGTTCCCCGACCTTAACATGGCCTCGTTCGGGAAGGACATAGAGGACGAGGCGAACGCCTATTTCCAGCGGATTTATAACCGACCGCCCCACCCTATCATGTGCTTGGAGGATTTTCTCGACATGCTCAAGAGATTCAGGGATAGCACGGAGAAGAGAGAGCGGGTACAACAAAATTTATTTTCTGCCTCTTAAAAATACGTATATTTCTGACACCCCCCTGGAGTCTGACATCCGACCGGAGTGTTCTTATCGATTCCATTTAACACGATACAGCTAAAAATTAATAACATAATCGCATAATGTTCATTCACGGATGATAAATGGAACAGTTTCTCATTAATATTGAAGGTCACGGTCCGGACTGGGCCAATACCCTCGGACCGGACCGGACCCCGGTCCTCAAAAAAAAGATCGGTCCGGTCCTATCGGTCTTAGACCGAGACCGGACCTCTAGTCATTACTCAGGACATATATTATCTTCTTACTTTTTTAAAAAATTATTGAATTAAATTTATGTTAACTACCAGCACAATGAGAGAGTTAATAAATATATATATGTACGTATATTTTTTATAAGATCCATTACTGGAACTCTGGTCGGGTGTATCTCCTATTTTATAATATAACAAAACGATCCCGATACTTTTTAAACATGCTTAAAATACCTTTTATTTTGTTTTTTATATCCTCCATTACAGGAAGTCTTTGCCTGCATGATACGTAACCTATTCGAAGAGTACCGATTTTTCTCGACTTACCCCGACAAGGAACTGCACGTCACGAGCTGTCTTTTCGGTGGATTAGTCGAAAAAGGTATTTAGCATAGTTTAATTTTATTTCGGGATTCTTAAGTTTACGTCCTCCAATAAAAGATCACTAGACATGATAAAGATAAGGGTCCGAGGTTAGTTTATTCCAGATATATTAACCCCCCCTCCCTTGTGTTTTCTTATATATATATATACATATACATATATATCCACTTGACAATTTCCTACTTCTCCTAATGGTCATGGAGTTAAAGGAAAAATCGATCCATAAAACCCCGTTTTTGACCGGGCTTTTATAAATTTTATGGAGTGTCAAACCGAACCATGAGATCGGCGGAAAACCGTTATAAATTTCTCAAACCGTTACAAGAATATTTTTTGTAAAGAGGGAAACCGACTCGGAAAAACGATGGTTTTTTGAAATTATAATATATTTATTTTTAAAATTTTTAAATGATTGCCATAAATTTTTTAAATATCAAAAAAAAAATTGGCCCTCAAATTTTCGTTTTTTTATGAATAATGAGATTTCAACTCATTTTCTCTTTACTTTACTTTGGTTTGTTTTTTATTTTTTTGAGAAAATGTTCTTGTTTTGTTTTTTTTATTTCTTCCGTTTTTTAGAGTAATTTATATTTTGGGTTGATTGAACCTTATGAATTTATGAACCGATGATATTGATTCGTTAACCATTACGGAATGCGACTAAACGTTATCCGTCGGTTTGACGCTTCTGAGCTCGGAGAACGATTTAAGATAGCGCTTCAGTATTTAACCCAAGTGGATTGACTTAAATTATGTGTTTTATTAGGTTTAAAAAATTGTTGCGTGTGTGTATATATATATATATATTGACGTATTGGGAATCCCTCAATTTTAAATCATTTACTCAAGGCAATTTTTTAAATTTAATTTGACCTGAAATGTAATCTACTACCTTATGCCCGCACTTAGAATTTCGCACAATTTTGTCGCAAACATTTGAACCGCGCTTATACTTCTATCCATTTTTAAATTTCGGGACCAAATCTTCCCCAAATTTAAAAAAAAAATCTTCTCTTCAAAGTGAATGATATAAAATTTGTCAAATTCCGAATCACCATGGATGAATTTCCATATCCAAATATGACATATGTATCGACTTTTAAAGTAACGATATTTAATGATCGCATTTATATTTTAAAAACCTAGGAGTAGTTTGCAATAACCTGGGTCTGGGGATAGCTTTGAGATTCGTGCTGGAAGCCCTTAAAAGGCCGGGCAGAGGCGACAAGATGAGGTACTTTGGTTTAACCGCTCTGGATAGTTTCAAGGATCGACTCTGGCAATACCCACAATACTGCGCCCACGTAGCCGCTTTACCCCATTTTGCGACGGAGTTCCCGTCTTACCTTAAAGAAGTGATACATTTATTCTTCAAAAAAATTTATTTTAAAATTAAAAGGTGCCTACGCGTTTTTTACGGATGGGATGCGAAAATTATAAATAATATCGGCGGGGTAACCGATATCTTTAAATAGACGAAAAACCGACCTCTAAACCGATATTTTTGAAAAGACGAATAATCTGCCGATAACCGATATTGAAAATAACTGGCCTATAACCGATATTTTTGAAAAAACGAGTAATCGGCCGATAACCGCGAATATTCGGCCTCGCATATAATATGTAATAATGAACGCCCAACCATTTTTTTATCTCTCACGTTTAGTATATAGAGTACGGGATCAAGGGCCAGGAAATGCCTCAAAGTGGGAGAATATCGGCCCCCAACCCATCCAAGAGCTTTACCCCTCCCCTTCAAAACGTCCAGACCACCATAACAGCTGGGAATTCGAATTTTACCTCCGTCAACACGCTCAACACCATTACCGCCTTTAACAGTTCGAACACCGCGTAAATAATAAATATAATTATATTCAGTTCAAAATCTCGATGATTTTTGACCAGAACTGTTGTTTATATTATTTTTTCAAAATTCCTAATTAATCTTTCGTTCCTTGTGTATTTCGATTTTAAAATCATATTTTTATTCAATTGCTTATATATATATATAATAAGGAACAGATCTGCCGTTAGTAATACCCTGACACCGATTTCACTCTTTTCTGCAGCCAGATCCTCCAAATCTAGCAATACGCTCATGGCCACCAACTCCAACGCGTTGTTTAACGTAATTTCATCATTTCATTTAAAAACAAAAATTGATATCTTATTTTTGAAAGCCTATTTTTTTTGTTTTGTTTATAACACATGTTATTTCCCATTTTCGTAAAAAAAAAATTCGGACATCCAGGCGGATCAAGACAACGCTCCATCTGAGGTGAAAGAAGAAGTTCACGTTCCGAGCGAAAACGTGCAGGATAAACTGGCCTTCATTTTTAACAACCTTTCTCAGGCCAATATCAACCAAAAGGTATTTTTTTATATCCAATTAAATTGATATTTTTCTTAGCCAAAAGATATTTTGGTTTTAACCAATAAGGAAAAAGAAAAGAAAGTATTGGTTTAAATTACCCCGCCCTTTCTAGCTATTTTTGTATTCTGGACAAATCAAATGACATAAAATAATACCTAGACTGACGATGCATTCACGAAAGCGTCGTTGATTGCAAATCAGCTGGACCCGCTTTTTTGGTAACAGGTATAGTAATTATTCTCGTGTTAAAAACTACTGTATTAAATTGATAACTTGTTTCCTTTGTTATCTCGATGATCGGGCAATTCCTTTAACAAAGTTTCGCGTCAGACATAGGAAATAAATCGAGACTCTCGTTTTAAAATTTTTAAATAACGATACGGGTAATCAAAATAACGTCCCCAGCTGTTTTTCATCTATCTACACTTTTAACGAATGCTATAAGGTCATATCGTGGAAGAAGTTTCGTCTAATATCTTCTCCCACAATAAATAATAATGAGATAGTTTTAAAAAGTTTCGCTTTTTTAAAAATAATCAGATTCGTGAAAATTTGTAAAATCGCGATGCACTTGGCATTATCAAAAAAAAATTGATACATGATACGCGTTACGTTTTTCCCGGCAATGTGTTTTTAATACAACTTTTAAAATCATTTTTTTGAGCTCTTCTTCTTCTTCTTCTTCTCCGTTTTATGGCGATTTCCAGGTTTACCCGGGTAGGCCAGTTTTCCCTCTGATTTTTCTTTTCCATTTTTGACGGTCCTGAGCATCAATACTTGTAAGATTCAAGCTTCTCATATCCGCCGCTATCACATTTGTCCACGTCATCTTGGGTCTTCCTCTAGGTCTTGATCCTCCTACTTCCATCATTGTGCATCTCTTTACCCAGTCATCTCTTGTCATACGTTCCACATGCCCAAACCATCTTAGTCTATTTCGTCGCATTACCATACCAATCATTTCTATACCTAATCTTGCTCGCAATTCCTTGCTAGTTTTTCTCTCTCTCAGAGATACCCCACACATCCATCTAACCATCCTCATCTCTGTTCTTTCTAATTTGGCTTCGCGAATTGCTTTCATTGCCCATGTTTCACCGCCATAAACTAAACAACTCCTCACGCAGCTTACGTAAACTTTCCCCTTTAACTTCAGAGAAACTTTTTTATTTGTAAGAATAGATGACATCTCTCTGAACTTCTTCCAAGCTTGTCTGATCCTTGCAACAACAGCAGAATCTACACCACCATCTGCGTTTAGCATATCACCTAAATAACAAAACTTATCCACTTTTTCTAGGGTTAACCCATTGCCAATATCCAGACCACCATTTTTTAGGTTATCATTATTATGTATCCCTTTCATGCATGTTTTACAAATAAAGGTCATTCTTTCTAACATCAAACTGCCTTTTTTCCCACTACATCTTTTATGTACCCATTTCTGGCATCTGGTGCATTGGATAGAATTTCTAGCAACTCCTTTCCCACATACACCACAAGGCCACTTACCTGATTCTTCTATCTTTAGATTTTCCCCACCAATCATCACCTTTGTTTTTGATGCATTCATTTTCAGGCCCTTTGCTTCCATAGTCATCTTCCATTTACTAACTTTATCCCTCAATTCTCCCTCACTGTTTGCCATTAATACAAGGTCATCTGCATATAATATCTCCCAGGGAAGTCCTTCACGCATTTCTCTAGCCACCACATCCATTACTAAGATAAATAATAATGGACTCAGCACGGATCCTTGATGAAGTCCTACCTTCACCTCAAAGCTGTCACTATCACCATGATCCGTCCGTACTGCTGTTTGTGCTCCAACATACATTGCCATCACTGCGGTAACTAACCATTCCTCCACACCGGATTTTCTCAAGGCCCATCTTGTAATCTCACGCGGCACCCTATCAAATGCTTTCTCCAAATCAACAAACGCATAATAGAGTTTCTTTTCCTTCGCAAGATACTTCTCCTGAATTTGTCTCACCACAAAAATTGCATCTGTCGTGCCTTTTCCCGATGTAAAACCAAACTGCATTTCATCAATTTTGATTTGTTCCCTTATCCGCTTTTCTAACACTCTCTCAAATACTTTCATTGCATGTTCCAAGAGTTTAATAGCTCTGTAAGACCCACAATCTAAAGGATCACCTTTCCCCTTGTATACTGGGATAATTATACTTCTTCGCCAGTCCTCAGGAATAGTACCTTCTGTGACAATCTGATTTGCTAAATTCATTAACCATTCAATCCCTAAATCATCAGAACCTTTAAACATCTCTGATACCACCATCGTTAAACCCGATGCCTTCCCTTTCTTCATCTTTTTCACTGCTCTCCTTATCTCGTCCTTGCCAAATTTACACCCTGGACCTTCTACCTTTGCACAACTAATATTATTATTCCATTCATTTTCTTCATTCAAAAGTCCTTTCATGTAAATCTTCCAGGTGTTCTTAATACCACTACTTACCAGAAATATTATATTATATCATGTTTGGAAATTACCTATTCTTTCTTTCTTTCTTTCTTTCTTTCTTTCTTTCTTTCTTTCTTTCTTTCTTTCTTTCTTTCTTTCTTTCTTTCTTTCTTTCTTTCTTTCTTTCTTTATAGACTGTTAACCTTTTGAGTCATATATAATTTATATAGGAAAAAAATATACGGAAAAATTTGATATAAATTATAATCAAGTTTTTAAAAGTTCGCGGAAAAAAAAGTGTTTGGAGAAGTTCAAACTCCGAAGGGTGGGTAATTCCCCAAACATAATTATGGCATACGTTTCCTTTTAAAATCGATTCAACAAAACAAATCAAGTTTAACGGGCCGAATTATGGGCAAGTTAAAGGAAAATAAGAAATTAATTTTTTTTTTAAATTTATTAAAAATTACGATTACTTGTTACATTTTAATAAAGACGGAAGAGATATCGGAACTACTCACGGACGAGAATTTGGCGTGGATAGCGAAGTACGTGGTCAACAAGCGAGCCAGCATAGAGAACAATTTCCATACCCTGTACAGCAACTTTTTAGATTGCATCAAAATTGTCAGGCTCAGTTCGTTAGTCATTCAGGAGACCTTTAAGAATATCAAGGTTTTTTTCTATGAAAAAATATAAATTTACGCCTCAATTGTAAAAGGTCTAACTTACCCTAGTTCAGATCGCCCCACAATCCAGAAAAAAAACGCTCTGAACAAAATATTTTTTCGAAAATGAAGGTTAATTCGTAGGACGAATCGGATAAACATTTCTTTGGAGATATTATATTATAGATAGATATATCCTCAGCTGAGATCTATATTGTTCTATGTCCACTAAATTAATCGAGCGATAAATTGTTCTCGTTGTTATCTGTCAATTTGTAATCGACATTTATCGACGTTTTTCAAATATACTTTTTTTATAAGGAAAAAAAGAACTTTTAATTTTTCCTTGTTTTAACATTTAAAACGTGTGATATGGGGTATATAAAGAAAAATAAAGATAATTTAAACAGGATCATACGAAATATTGGGATTTAATAGTTCTATCTATATCTACGATGACTCTAAACGCGATTAATTTTGATATTAATTAAATGCGCGTTTTGTAGTTGATCAAAACATGAAATACTCGTTGAGCGATATCGCTTTATCAAAATTTCAAACTTGTTATAATCATTCATTTTATGCCACATAATTTATCGCGTTATTTAAATTTAATTCCTTTTTTTCCTTTTTATTTCCCCGCGAAAAATAAAAATATTACAGATTTTGCTGAGGAGCGATAAATCAGCCGGAAATTTCTCGGACCGCTCCCTTCTCAAGAATTTGGGTCATTGGCTCGGGCTTCTAACTATCGCCAAGAATAAACCCCTCCTGCAATCGGTATGCTGTTTTTTTTGATATTCACCGAAAGAAAGAATAAAATATATTATTTATCAAGGCCACCATTATCGTGAATCCCCTAAAAGATAACTCCGGCTTAGTTCGAGGTGGACACCACCCATAACCTACTAATTAGTAGTTTTTTGTTATAGTTATAGCTTCGTTTTAACGTAAACGGTCTAATATGATTGATCGTTATATCTCCTTAATCCTTCAAGAAGATAATCACCCCCCCCCCACCCCAACTACCTTTTTACCCCCTTTTCCACCCAATCTTTATCTAAATTTAGCGAAATTTTTTTTTTTTTTATAATTCCTCTTTTTCTTACTAAAATTAAAAATTAAACTTCCTTTATAAAAATGATGACTTTTTTTATATATGTACATATATTCTTATGTAGTAGACGGTTAGATATTTGTTTAAAGCCCTGAGCAGGCTAAACCAGCTCAGTATCCGCTTGAATATGGCCCGCCCCACTATACATTAATTATGTTGTATATTTTATCTTCCGGTGCGGTATTTAAAATCAAGTCGCCTCTTCCTGTCTGGGCGAAATCGGGGGCAGGAAACTAGGCTTTTGCTAACGATAAGATCCAAACATTACACGGATATTAAGACAATTCTTTTTCCTCATAATTTTGTAAAAAACGGTTAATATTTTGATTTTTTTTAGGAGATAGACCTGAAGCAATTAATTTTGGACGCTGGTGTAAAGGGTATACAAGACTTGCTATTCGTTATTCCCTTTGCCGCCAAGATACTGGAATCGTGCGCCAAATCTAAAGTACCCTCATTTCATTTTTTTTTCTCATTATAATAGAAATGATAATACATTTTTAAAATGATACCTAAGTTATACTTTAACTTGTTTGAAACACTTCATTAAATCAACATTAATTATAGGTGCAATGGTCATAATCAAAGGAATAAATGAGTTTTTTTAATAAAAAAATATTACTTAATTACAAAGAACTTTAAATTAGATTGTACTAAGAGTAATACTCATCTTTCCTAAAATCATCTTTATTAATCGGTTAATGCCTTATCTATTTAATCTATTCTTTAGGTTTTTAAGCCTCCCAATCCTTGGACCATGGCCATAATGCATTTGCTCGCGGAAATTCACAAAGAACCTGACATGAAACTCAACCTAAAATTCGAAATAGAGATGCTTTGCAAGGCCTTCAGCTTGGATATCAACGTATTTTATTATTATTATTAATGCCATACCTACTCAATTTTATTCCTAAAATTTTAGGCGCTGGCCCGACATTGCCGCAACGAGCTTGCCAAATACCGCGACAAGCTGGCCAACGAATCCACTCAACTCCAAACGATTACTTCCCAAGCTTCCTCCCAGCAATCCTCCCAAACCCAGCTTCAGAATCAACTCTACCAGCAGCTCCAACAGCTACAGTTCCAGCAACAACAGGGCAACCTATTTCAACAACAGCCCAATAAAATTATCGGCCTCAAAAATATCTCCTCTTTCTCTTCCACCTTTTCTACCCTTTCCTCTTCTTTGGTCTCAACCTGCACCATCTCTATAACCTGTACGGCAACTCTGAGCCTATCAACTGCCTCCGGCACATCTTCCTCCGTGATGAGTATCAGCAGCTCTGGCAATAATATCCCAATGTCCTCCATGCCTCCCCACCTAATGACCCCAGCAAATTTTTTCAGTATGATGCTCATGCAGCAACAACAAAATCAGTCTCAAGGTATAATGATTTGTTAGAACAATTGGATTTTTTTAAATTTCGTAACCCAATTTTCATTTTAGGCTCCACGTTGGACTCCCTCGCTCCTAGCCTCTCCTCTTCCACCCTCACCTCATTAGCGCTCTCCAGACCGTCCACCGCCGGCAAAATACTATCGCAACAAAGTGTTAGCAATCAACAGCAGCAACAGTTCTTGGCGGCACTTTTGGGTAATTCCTTGATATTTTTTTTACGGTAAGAGACGTGAATAGGGGAAGAAGAAAATAAGATACTTAATATACTTACTATTCTCATTTTTTTTCCCACAATTGAATTTGCCACTTGTCTTAAGCTATTCTTGGAAACCTACATTCTCTCAAACTTAATAAATAACGTGACTCGATGATCTAACTTCTTTTAATTTCAATGCATCTGCTTATCGTGCCATCTTTTTATATTTTTTTCACCAATATGATGTTATTATAATATACCTATTTTGAACAGGCGTTAAAAGTGGGCACCCTATGCCACCACCCCCAATGCAACCACCCGGTCCCCACTTTCAGCACCAACTCCAGCAAATGATAGCTGCTTACGCGCAACAACAGCAACATGGTCCTCAAAGCCAGGGTAGTAACAGTTTTAACCACCCTGGTCAAGGCCAGAATTCGAACAATTTGCCGCTCTCCAACAATGCCTTCAGTAGCAACCAACAAACCAAGAAATATCCACAGGGATTCACACTAGGTATTTATCGATTTGAGCCTTTTATGGATATGGTTCCTTATTATTTTTTTGGAATGTATGAAATCAATATATAATTTGGGCTCTAAACTTGTTTTGAGTACACTAAATATGTACATTTTTTTTCGTTTTTTTTTCTCCTCCCTCAGCAACCTCGACCCCCTCCCTAGCCTCGTCTCTATTATCCTCACTTCCTATCACCACTTTAGCCCCGTTGCTTTCCCTTCCTTCTTCCAGTGCGGGATTCGGCTCCTCTAACGCCCACCAAATCGCGAACTCTTCCTCCTCAGCTTCTAGTAGCGGGCCCGTCCTCCCTATCCCCCACTTTCAATTCAAGTACGGCGACATCGATGTTAGTAGCATCGCCAGTGGGCTCCTTTCGCGCGTCCAGATTAATTCCCAAATCCCCTTGTTCCAGCTGATGCCCCAACTCAGGCAGGTTGTAAGGGTGGCGCTCGAGCGTTCGGTCCAAGAGATTTTGCCGCCTTTAACAGAAAGGGTCCTCAAGATAACGCTTGCCACCGCTGAAAGCCTAATCAAAAAGGTTCGCGATTTAGTTTTTTTAAATGCGTTTAACGCTCTGATTCAAATTTAGTACAGAAAAATATACTGCTTATATTTATCGAGTTCTCTAGTTTTGTTAAACGGCTCGATGTGAGCCGATTTTTAAAAAAATTCTAACTCAATATTTTATCCAGAAAAAAAATTTTTAAGCAAATCTTAAGGTTTCGCTTTATAGAGAGGGCACAGAGTTTTGGACATTCTATTAGTGAAATCTCGAGGGCCTAAGCAATATTTTTCTGGTTAAAATCTTGTGTTCTTCAATCCGTTTAGCATCACTAGCTCGGTGAGTAAATATTATAAATTTTTACCAAAGAATATGTAAATTTTAAATTTTTTTTAAAAAATATTGGAGAGAAGGAAAGATACCTTAAGATATTACTTATAATTTGTTATTAAATTTTTCTTGTTTACGACAATCGTTTCATTCCATTTTTCATTGAAATAATAAGAAAATAAATTAATAACCACCTTTATGGGACTACGAAAAATTCCGACATTATGTTGTCCCTTTCAGGTTCGGTTTTCTATTTATTCTTACATTTCTTTAATCAAAAATTGGAAAATCGAGTTTAAAATCAAAACTTTTGTTTTTAAAACAATTTTTTATTTTTTTTATTAAAAATCTTAACAAGGATTTCGCCTTGGATCCGGACGAAGCCCGCGTGAGAACCGCGTCTCACCACCTCATCCGGTTTTTGGCTGGCGGCATCTCGCTTTACACTGTTCGAGAACCGCTTTACGCTAGCTTGCTCACCAATTTCAAGAGTGCGCTCGCTCTAGCTATCAGAGGGACATCCGGGGTAAATTATGGCCACTTTTTAAAAAAAAATAAAATAAATTGGACATTAACATGCCCAAGGAATATCAAATGTAAAAAAAGGCATCGATTTAATTTTTGATTTTTAAAAATATAAAAGTGAATATTTGGTTTGGTGATACAAGTTATAACTGGGTTTCAAAAAATACATTTTTTGAATATTCAAATAAAAAATTTAATTTTGTTTTTAATATGTTTTAGTGTTTCCAAACCCTGCTTATACAATCGATTTTATCATAATATTCAAAACACTATGAAATGTAAAAATACGCAATTTCATAATTGCGTTTCCCCCCAAAAAAGAGGAAACCATTGAGTTATATGTAATTGTATTTATTAAGGTACTTGTGGGTTTTAAATTTAATTGCTTTATTATCAAAATAATTTGCCCAATTTTAATATTCAACAAAAGATGAAAAAAAAACTAACAGCAAAAATTAGTGTTGTTAAACGGCTCGTTTTGAGCCGATTTTTAAAAAATGGCTAACTCAATATTTTTGCTAATAAGATGTTCAAACAAAACTTTGTTCCTTCTACAAACAAAATCTTCAGGCTAGCGTAATACTATTCTAGATGAAATATTGAGTTAAAATTTGAACGTTAAATTGTTTCCTTATTTATCATCGCTTATCTATATATATATATTTAGGAAAAATTAAATTTTGACCCCCTGCAAAATTATATAACTACCGACCTATTAATTTTTATATATCACTATCGCACTCCTTAAAGGGCATGACGTCTTCTAGCCTCTCGATGGCTCCTTCCACTACGCCCAGCTCCGCGCAGAATCAACTATTGAACCCGCTTTCTAACGCCTTCGATCTAAGCACCCTCACCAAAAACGAGGAAAATCTGGAAGGTTTGATTTCAAATTATTACTGAATCCTTTATGATTTGGTCGCCTTAACACCTCTTAGGGGAATTGGCAAAACGTCACCTGAATCACATCTGTATAAGAGGGTCAAAGTTACTATTTTTACCAATGACCTTTGAGCCTACATGCCACCACTCATAAAAATAATCGATTTAAAATTTTCAATCATGACTAGAAATTTTATGAACCCCCCTCCTCCCCACCCCCTCCCTTTTTATCCCAAAAATATGATAATCGATTATGATTATATCGATAAGGAATCAATATGATTTGTATGAGTGGTGGGTCTGGGTCCATCTTCATTTTTTTATCACTATGTAAAAACTTTATTTCTTGTCTTTTTTATATAGATTTATTATCCTAGGCATTAAAAGTGCTTCTTCTTAAATTATCGATCATAAATCAATATTTTTTTTGTGAATGCCAAAACACAATCCAATTAATCAGATCTTACGACCATATCTCCCCCGGCTCATTCGTCCGATATTTCCAATCTCAACCTCACCGGAGAGCGATCTCCTCCCAATTCCCTTCTCCTTTCTTCCGAATTGCTCGAACACGCCGCCAGTTGCTTAGCCTCGGACAATTTCGAGTTAGCTTGCTGCTTCGCCCAGAAGACAACTATAGAGAGAGCGGTATCCGAAATCGACCGAAGATCCGTTATTCGAAACCGATCCGGTATAAAGAGACACGTGGGTGACACGGGTTTGGTAGGGTTCGACCAGTTACCAGCTAAGATACGACCCAAGGTGACCAATCTATATAAATGTATTTATTACCAGTAAAAAAAATCTAATTAAGATTGTAACTTTGTGAATTTGAATGCGCACGACATAATGGGATTATATGATAAAATAAAATGTAGGATTTTTTTTTGCAATATCTGAATTATTATCCAAATTCCAAATAGCTTTCAAACGTTAATTTAAGATATTGGATTATCTGGCTAAAATGATACGAATATTATCAGTTAAAGATACTACAAAAAATTTTAACATCGTATTTTTTTTTATTTAATGATTTATTTCAAAATTTCGTCTCCATTTTCGAAATCGCCACCGAAATAAGTTACTGACATGTTTATTATATACGTTCCTACGCGCTCGCGATCGAGCCTGTAATCGTTGCCTTTTCCCCATTCATTCACTCACAAGAGAAGGATCGAAATAGACCAAACCGAGGTTACGATCGATGATTAAACCCTTGGCAAACGAGTTCGTTTTACCAAGCCTTATTTCGGTGTCCTGTGTGAAGGCATTTATTTTGCCCATTTTCTTAGCTGGTATGGTGTGGACGGATTCCATAGAGTAGGTCAGGTTGGCTGACTCGAAAATGAGGTGGTCTGCAAAATGGGCCCCAATTTTGAATGACGGTGGAGGCCGCATCGGAGAAGACGATCTGTTAACACGATCTTTCAAATCATAAGCATCTTCATGTATATCTATTTCTTGACAAATATTCAAAGATTCTATCAGGTTAAAACTATCTTCATAACCAGGTACCAATCGCTTGAAAATGGGATATCTGGTAAAATTATAAATGGTATCACTATTGAAATTCTCTCGCAGTCAAAAACTAGCTTAGGATCCGTGGAAATCTTGACCGTCACCAACACATTGCAATACCGTTTGAGACTGATTTTATCATAGTGCCTAATTACACCAACTTGGAATAGGTATTCCTGAATTTTTGACCGATCTAAACCTGGGCCTGATGGATTTACCTTAAGATCGCCCTGTGAAGAACCATAGGATTCGATAAAGCCTGAAACCAAGAAATAAGAGTAATTTGCGCCAACAGAAGAAACACTAGATTCGTTTGAGGCAATAGACGAGATATGACCTATGATGGAGTCTTCTAGAATCATATAGTGGTAAAAGGGTTCCAAAACATCTTTAACGGACACAGTAATCGGTATATCGTTAAAATTCAACACATTGCGCCTATCCCGAATTCTGGCAGTGAAGCTAATGTCGAAGGACCTTCCTTTCGTTCACCCTTGATGGAAACATTCCTTCCAGCTCCTCTTGAGCCTAATAACCCCACTAGTCTTATCTGTATCCTCCCATCTCTCCAAATGAAATGATGACGGCAAATAAATTTGTTGTATTTGTCAATACCAGGTACTCCAAGCGGGAAGGGTTTAAATGGGGTAACGGTACGAGCCTCTACAGTTCGGTTCCGCCTACCATGAGTTTGCTTTTAAAGTCCACGTTGTAATACTTGACGATGAAATTAGGTCTTTCGAGCTTCTCGGTTCAGTTCAAGATGACCAATTTCAAGGTTCCAAACAGATATACTGGTGAAGGAGCCATATTTATGAGTACATCTAATGACAAAAAAAGGAGACATTAAAGAAACCGTGAGTCATATAAAAAAGCTGAATAGTCTCCGTTGGTAGATGAAGCAACGATTGGAAAATTTATCTCGCCATAGTTAGATATGAGTTTGTACTGAAGGCTGGGGTTAGTTGAGTAAGCCAATAAGCGCGTTAAATGATTCCGAATATATACTCTTCCCAAAAGAGTCGGTGATACTATATTTCCGTTAATGTAAAGCGTTTGTTTGAAAGTTAGGGTTCCTAAAGATTCCATAAAAGTTATTCGGGTCTAAATTCTCGTCACCACGTTTCAAGACTTCCAAATCAATAAAACTGTAAAAGTCTTTCAACATGAAAGGTCTATCTCTAGTGGTCCGGTTATAACTGAGAGTTAAAACAGCGAAATCATAAAAATGTCCGTCAAAAACGGCCACGTTTAAAGTGAAGCTATCAAAAAATGGTTATTCGGGTATAATTTTAACTCAAAATCCCGTATGCCAATTTGTCGCTGCTTAAGTCTTCATTCTGATCTTCGAAATGGAAGATTACTTGCCTTGTATCGCGGTCCATGGCGGTGACCTTGGCTGACGATAGTATGAATAGTGGAGGGTTGTAATTCACTAAAATATTGATAACTAATTTAGTCAGGCAAAACAGGGAGCCCTGATCCATGACCTTAACTGTGTAGCTATAGTGAGGGATATTTTCCCGGTCTAACCCGGGACTGATTATCGTGATGAGACCTTGATTGCGATCTATGTTCACGATATGAGAGCTTCTGTTAGAATGAACGATATGATAGGCTAATTTGCCTACGCTGGTGAAATAAACATCGCTAGCTTGTATCATACCAACGTAAGACTGAAGGGATATTCTCGGGTATCAATTATGAGTAAGTTAGCATAGGCGATATGCAAACCGTCCGTAACGGATAGGCTTAGGTTATAAGATGAAACTTTTTCATGGCCCAAAGCCAAACCATGTGAGCTGGCCACATATAAAGAGCCATCATTTCTTATTAAGAAGTGATTAGAGGGGTTGCCTCTTAAATAAAAGGTCAGTTTGTCCGCAACACTGGGATCGATAGCAGTTATTTGCGCAATAGATTTATTACTTTGTATAGGCCCTTCCATTGCACTAAATCGGTACTCTTTGACGATTTGGTTAAAGGAATCCAAAAAATGAGGGGAATTATCGTTGATATCTACAACGTTGATCTAGAAGTAAGCTCAAATCTTTCTTTCGGCTTATGAATTGCTCCACATCATACCGATATTAGGATGGGATAATATTAAGATTTTAGGTCCAAGTAATGCATGGTGGAACTTATTTAAGGTACAAAATAGTAAAGAGAAGTTTTGTAAAAATTGTGTGAATAATGGTAATATTATTAAGGAATATGTTATCGATGAATATGTTAAAAATCGTAGGGATAGGGAAGATAAAGGGAAATAATAATTATAATAATATTTAAAAAATATATATTGACGATGAACATGTTAAAAATCGTATTAATAAGGAGGATAATAAATGTAAGATTAATGAAATTGATAAAATAAAAGTGGAGAATTATAATATCAATGGTTTTACGAGATATACTTGTGCAAATAAATTGTATAAGGGAGATAATAATCGAGGTAATTATGAAAGTAGAAGATGAGGTTAAAATTAGTAATAAGGGTATAAAAGTAATGAAAGACTTTGTATGTTCGGAATTGAAGGAGGTACTAAATAATAATAAAATAATTTTAGTATGCCAGATAGAGAACTGCAAAGTAATTTTTTCGCGACCCGAGCCCGAATTTAAAATTTTTTTTTGTCCGAGCCCGACCCGAGCACACATTTTTTAGTCCAACCCGACCCGAGCCCGACCCGAATAAAATTTTGCAATTTAAGTTTTAATATTATAATAACCAAAAAAAATTTATGTGTATTTATTCAGTTCAGCCACCTTAAATAAAAGTTTATTTGACGGCCATAATCTATTCAAGATATATATTAAGTTGCATTTTATTAAATTTGTAAAAAATATTATAAAACGATTAATGTACAAGCGAATTTAAGAATTATAACGATTATAATAATACAATAAGCATCATTTATGCGAATATAGATATGATATAAAAGTTAATAAATATATATAAAAATATAATGAACATTATTATATTATATTGACCTCATCAATATCATTATCAAAATTTTCACAAAGTGAATAATTATGATATATAAATAAAGAGACGTCCAGTTTATCTGGCTTGTTATAATCGAGACCTTCTCTCCTCAAAGGCCCTACCAGCAGCTGAAAACGCCCTTTCGCTGCTAGCCGACGAAGCAGGGATATCCAGGAATTTAAGAGCTAAAATACTTAAATTTGGAAACTCATAATGGTTTGTTTTTCACCATTTTAAAATATTATCGTCATCAATACCTAATTTCGGATCTAGGTATTTTTTTAGCTCGTCAACTTCGGCGCTAGCATCAGAATACGCATTGTCAGCCTCCCATAGAGAGAAGTCGAAAATAGTGTTGTTAAACGGCTCGTTTTGAGCCGATTTTTAGAAACGGCTAACTCAGTATTTCACCTAGAATAATATTACGCAAGCCTGAAGATTTTGTTTGTAGAAGGAACATAGGTTTGGACATCTATAAGCGAAATCTCGAGGCTTAGGCTATATTTTTCTGGCTAAAATATCTAGTTAGCCGTTTTTAAAAATCGGCTCAAAACGAGCTGTTTAACAACACTAGTCCAAAAACGTATCTACCACCTCCGTAGTTTCTTAAGAAAAAAATATTCATTAATAATATTTAGATATATATTTACTTTATTATTTTTTAATAAATAATTTTATTATTAATTTAATATTTTACTACTCTATCGGTTGAGCACGAGTTAGATGGTGAGTTGTTTAAAGACTTTTGCTCAATCACATCTCTGTTGATTTTCTCTGCGTTAATCAACGTGTTGGTATGTTGACACAAATCTTTATAATGTTCCCGGGATAACATTTTCATATCCCGAAATTTTGGGCACAAAAACGTCGAAATTTGCTGGAATAAATCTATTTTAAATTTATCCACCAATATTTCCCGGCATCTTAATGAAAGCTGGTTTAGCTGATAGTTTAAGCTAGGATTAGCTAAAAAATTCAATATTTTATGATAGCATAAAATAACTTTGTGAATAGTAGGTTTTAACTCACTCTCAAGTTCATCACTCGCAATTTTAAAAGGCGTCAGAAACTTGATCAGATCCCTCATCATTTCAAAATCAATATTTTCAAGTCTAATCGACTCTCCTCTGGAATTGAGGATTTCTAATGTGTCATTATATTGATTAAAGATCGATTCAATCATATTCAACCTACTATTCCACCTAGTCTCAACACACATGTGGAGAGTTTTTTCGAGGCGATTAACTAATCTAAAATG